AATGAAACACTAGTCTCATCAGTCCAAAGAGCTGAAGACAGTAGTTCACAGTCCCGTTCAAGACATTTTTTTGAGAAATCTATGTTCAGAGAAATACAAGCATTACTTAGTTTCTGACTTGAAATTAATTTCTAGTGAGAAGGGATGGTGCAGAGATTTGCCCCAAATGAATTATTTCATGAAGTACCAGATATTGCGGGAAGCATTCAATGCATTTTATACTTCGTCCCTGACCCTCCCTAAGCCATCCTACAGATCAACCTGATACAACAGTAATGGCGAGCACTACTGTCCCTCTGCTCCATATCCAGTATTCTTCAAAGCACTCTGCGTACATCTCATCTAATTATCACTATTCTAGAGGTAAATACTTCCATTCCCACTTTACAGATGAAAGCACTGAAACACAGAGCAGTTGCATAACTACCCCAACACCTAATCATTTGCTCCCTCCTTAAATAAGCTGGATTGTGCCCAATGACCTGTGGTTAAAGCCCAAATTCCTGAATATTCACACCTCAAACCCCCAGAAGCCTAACCTCCCATGAAACACTTTCCCACCTTTGTGCTTGTCCTAAGAACAGATGTGGCACGACGGCATCCACATGTCACATTCAAGTGTGGCTTCTGTCCAGATTTAAATGTGACAGAATTTACAAGTCAGGTTTCGCATGAAAAATCACAATTACGGCTATTGCAATTTCATTTAGAAACCATTAGATTTCATTAGAAATCTGAAGCTCTGAAGCCAGGCCTACATTCTGACTAGAGACACTCAGCTGGTGCAGCGGGATCGCCCTCCTTGATCGGGGCCGAGCCCCATCCAGTTTTCAGCTGTCACTAGTCACACAAAGTATACCAACTTTACTTGCTCCTATTACTGACCTGATTCCTAAAGGCCTTTGCCACCTTGCCCTAAAATCATCTTTACTTACTTAAATCCCACCTAACCTCCAAGACCGAGCTCAAATGCCATCTCTAGTATTTTTAGTTACTCCAATTCAATTTGGCGTCCAGCCTCTGAATTCCCTCAGCATTCTGATTATGTATTGTGACACATCACACCCTCCTGGGCAATGAGTGTATACATGCCTCACTAAGAACTACATAGAAACCCTGAGGAAAGGTTAAATGACCAATTCTGTGATCTTAGGCAATGAAATGTCACAGCATCTAGGATTCTAGGATTTGAGCTGCAGATTAACAAAGGGAGAGAAGTGACCTGAACACACACACACACACATGCTTTCATTCTCTCTTCACTCTCCACGCCTCTTCCATCAGCCTTCTGTTTACAGAAAAATCATGGGACAACTTAATGGATGTGTTGTTACTTGTTTAATAAATAGAACCCACATCACTTCATTTGTTACAGCAAATAATGAGAGGCAATAATTCAAGAGGGCTCCAGAAAGCTTTTTCACCCACAAAATAATAGAAAGAATAAGCACCTTCACCACTCACGCCCTTGGTTAGCTTTTTTGTTTGATCTCCGTTCCCCCACCCACATCAGTATGTTGCTTCCAGAATGGGATTCTCCCTTCAAATCTTATACCTGTCGGGAGGCTAGTCTATCAGCTTCCCTTAAGAACAGAATGGAAGTCCCTAATTTAGCTGAGAAACCTGGACAAGTCTTCTTTGATTTCAGCCTCATCCCAAGGCCCATGAATGTTTTCTTTAAAAAGCTGCAGGCGAATGAGGTAGAAAGGGCAGAGGCAAGAGATGGAAACCAGCAGAAGGGCAAAGAGGATGGCTCCTACAACACTAATGGACAACAGGCCTCCCAAGGCTGAAAATGCAAAAAGCAGTGTGACACCCACGTAGCTACGGGGAGTACATGCCTTCAGTTTCTTCTGCAACATGGGCCACAGGGCAAAAATCTGGATGGCAAAAGTCACCATGATGAAGGCATGCAGGGACCGCGGCAGGCGTGAGGCGAGGCAGACAGAAGCGAAGATGGCCATGTTCAAGGACAGCGTGCTGGAAACAATGGCAGCATTGGCTCCATAGTCAAAGAAAATGAGGTGGCCTAGAAGCATGAAGACCGACATGGCATAGATGGTGTCAGTACTGACGGACTCTGTCAGGGTCTTCAGCACTGGTGAAAAACCGTAAGTGAAAGTAATGAAAACCAGGGCACTCTTCAAGTCAGCCCACCGGGTCCGGCCGCTCTTCTTCCGCCCTTCACCTCCGTCGATGAGATCAAACAAGACATAGCCAATCAGTGAAGAAGCCAGGCCAGTCCCAAAGAGCCACTGGGGGGCCAGAAGGCCCTCATCCATATACCACCAGATGACCACAAACACGCACACGCTGCACAGCTGCTGTATCACCACGCTCGACTCAAACACCACAGCCCAGTACTGGTATTTTCGGGCGTAGATGTTTTTCCGAAGCTCTTCCAGGAAACGCCGGTCCACATAGTTATCGGGAAATGGCTGTCGCTCGTACAAGACCTTCTGCCACTTGGCCTCCTTAGTGTCAGCTACAGGCTGGGCACCCATTGTCCTCTCCCGCAATCTCAGGCCAGCTCAGGCTCCCTCACAGAAGTCCACGTGGTTCTTGTTCCTTACCAAATTTTGCAGTAAGACCTCTCGGGAAATTCCATGCCGTGTGGCCGTTGATATTGAACCCACCTTGCTTTGCTTTCAAAGGCAGCAACCCAGGCTAGGCCCACAATAGATGAGTTTGTTCTCTGGGGCAGGATGGTAAAGCCACGGTCCTGGAAAAAGACACACTATGAACCTCATGAACCTCGGAAAGCTGTGAAACGTCCAGGAAGAACAGAGTTTCAAAGCAACTCAGTTTATTAAAAGTCTGTGCAAAACTACATGTGGTGGCCATTTTATAATCACGGACATTAACCCTTTGTTTCAGATTTTAAGTGATAATCCCACAGATGATAACAGACACCTGGTAGCTAGTACTTATTTGAGCGCCTACTACATGCCAAGTGCTTTCCATAGCTGCTTTCATTTAATCCCTGCAAGCTTTCAAGTCAGCATTAGCTCCACTTTAATTAGTAAACAAGAAAAAAAACCCGAGATTCAAAGTGCTTAGGTAACTGTAGGCCACGCTAAGTCAGTAATAGACAATGAGCCAGATTCAAACTAAAATCTGACCCTAAAAACCTGGGCCTCACATCATGTCTCCCTCTAAACCAGTTAGCTCAGGGGTTCACATATCCCTCAGGCTTCACCCAAAACCCTCCCAGGCCCTTTATGCTCATAGTTGCAATTAGTGTAAATTTCTAGGTATGGGATCCAAAGCTTTTATTTACTGAGTTCTCAAAGGCATCTGAAGAAAGAAAGAAAGGGAAGGAAAGAAAGAGAAAAGAAAAGGTATCAGTCTAACGACAACAGTAAACTGCACAAGACTGTACGGGCACTGAAGTTTATTCGGCCAAAACCAAGGGCTCCAACTAAAGAGTCTCAATCTATTACCTGAGCGTATCATCCTTCAAAGAGTCACCATTCCAATTATAACGGGGAAACTCTCGTGAGGTTCGAAGACAACGACCCCTTTTTCACAGTGAAAACTTAAGAGTCAGAAATACCGGGGTCACCCAGCAAGTCTGTGAAGAAACTGCTTACTGCCGACCTTATTTCTTCCATGGTGATAAGTTCTGTTTCACAAGCGAACCCCGCTGGGAGCCCCCCTCAAGGCAGCAGGGACCCCAGCCCATGGAGTTCACGGTCGCCGGCTGAAGGGTCTGCGGCGCCCAGAAGAGCAACGCCCCTCCGTAGTCCGGGGGTCGGGCAGGCGTCCCGGGGGCGCCCTACTCACCCTCCGGGGCCTTCCCCGCCCGCCGACGGGCGGGTGACGGAGGAGGGCAGGGGGTGACAGAGGGGGACGGTAAGGGGCGGAGGAGAAAGAGGCTTGGAAACACTGACTCCCAGTCGGAACCCACCTGCCCGCACTTCCTAGAGCTGCGCGGCCGGGAAGGGCGCCCGCCCGCCTCCTTTCCCATCCGGGGCGCCGGGGGTCGCGACGGCGGCCGAGCACTTCCGGGTCCGCCACCGCCCCTGCGGCAAGAGCGTCCGTCCCCGGCTAGAGAGACTGCGTGGTCGCTGCTGCCCCCTCCTGGCTGCTCAGAGGACCTCCAGGCTCCCCTCTCAGGACGCAGCACTCAGAGCCTAGGAAAAAGCCAATCCCCAACAGAAAGACAGGATTTGGCGTCCGAACAACGCCAGGTGTAGAGGCTGGGCTGGTAAAGAGAGATTATAAAGCCTATTTTCCCTTGAGCTCCTGTTATTAAGTCAGGCCCTCAACTGGGGACTTGCCATGCATCCATGAATTCATTGGACACACACAAGTACTGTATTAGGTGCTCCTGATGCAGCAGTGAATGAAGCCCACAAAAATTCCTGCTCTCCTGGAGCTTTCTGTCTTGTGCATTGAGCTGTAAAGTGATGATAGATATCCTCGTAGAGGACAAAATTGAGGTTCGGAGAGGTTGTGATGTGTCCAAAGCCACACGGCTGAAAAGTGGATTCATCAAGAGTCACATCCAGTTGTCTGTAGCTTCGAAGTGTGGTTCTTTCCTCTTTGCTGCCTAGAAGGAACTGGGATGGAGGACACAGTGGCTGAAAACAGCTGGAAACGGAATGGGAGGTTGCTAATATTCAGCTGACTTCATAGAACTCTCAGAGGATGCATAAACAGATGGAAGTAATAAAGCAGTAAAAGGATAGAGATAGTAGAATACAAGATATAGTGGGCACCAAAGTCAGAAAACCTGAATCCACTTCCCAGCTGTGTGACTCGGCAAATTATAATGCCCGAGCTTTGATTTTCTTCATCTGTAAAGCAGACATAACAGTATTTATACTGTTGGATACTTTATGGGAGAGTCGAAAGGCTCAAATACAAATCGTAGAAATGTTTTGTGAAGTGCTGGCTTTTGTAGAGTCTCCGTTAGCTTACTTTGCTCATGGTTTTGATGGCAATGCTTAAATGCAATAAATTCTACAAACCGATCTCTTTCCATTTCTCTCCAGGTTTCCGTGCCAAAATTTGACAAGATCCCTTGGTTCAGTGAGGGCAGCCTCACCAACAAGCCATTAGTGCTCAGCCTCCCCAAAAGGTAACATCCCAGCCACTGAGGGCAAAGGTTTCAACAAAGACCTCACAGAAGATGATTCTGGGGCAATTCTCAGAGAGGCAACTCTGGTCAGTTGAGAAACCCAAGATGAACGCTTCAAAACCAGAAACGGCCTGGCTCTCTCAGACAAAAGTGGGCCCTGACAATAGTCTTGTCAGGGGGACGAGCTCTCAATTGACCTCCCTCCCAGCAACCACCACACAACAACACAGAGGAATTCTGCCCGTGGATACCACTCTCCAAGCACTTCTAGCCTCCTCGGCATCTTACTTTTTCTCTCCTCTACTTTCATTTGAAATTTTCTCACTTTTAAGATTATACTTTCACGGGTCATTTCTATAGTTCGTTACTAGAGAAGTTTCTCTGAACGTGTAGAGTACCCCTGAAATTTTCTCATTTTAACCACCAAAAGTCTAGAACCATAAATTCCTGCCTTTATAGATAAGCAACTGGCTGGGTAGAACAATCTCCAGTCTCCTCAAGCCTGACACTTCCAAACAAAGTGTTGTGGAACATGTCTCTAGTTTTCAAACTAGGAGGTGTTGGTGTGTTAGCACCATCTGTGTGCTGACACGCAAAATACGTGAGCTTCCTCATTCCTACTGCGTTTTTGGTCCCTGGGTGTGGTGATATGCCCTGCTCTAGGGAGGAGAAGGGAGAGGAAGGGGGAGCATGAGGTAATTTGGGGGCTGAATGGTGAATGGGAGAAATCAGAAGGGGGGGTAGGGAGGAGCAGGTCAGGAAGCAACTTTGAAAGCATGTCGTAGGTGAAGAGGGGCAGCTCCCTGGCACGTGCGGCAGTTTGCTAGGGAGGTTGAACTTTCTAAAGGAGTTTTTCCTCCTCTTGGTAAGGGTCACATACCCTCTAGCCCATAGATAAGCAACTCTCCATGAGGGACATTCTCCCCATATTCCCTCTTCACTAACATGTACCTTTGCTGTATCTGCTGCACTTTTTCAAAGCCACAGTCTCAGTAAACAGACAGATGTGTGTATTTTCAGAGCACCTATGAAATGCTTGTTCAGTTCTGCTATTTGTACTTTGTATCTAAACTCTAGCTCACATCTTGCTAATGTGAAATGGCCAGTGTTTGACATCTAAATAGGGTAGTGGCCCACCATTCCATCCCAGCGCCCATTCTCATTAGACCTGCCCCTGCAGCCAGGAGTAAATAATCCCTGGGCATTCCTCTGTCACCCAGCTGTCTCAGTCCCTGACTATACAGTTTGTGGTACCTATAGGGGTAGGGGGAAGGGAGGGGAGAGCAGGCAGGGGACTTGTAAACGGCAGACCCAGAATACAGCTGGGCACCCCCAGGGCCTGTTCCCTTTCACAGCTGGTCCTGGAGTGTCAGAAGTGCCAGACTATTGACAGTCCACTGAAAAGGGAAAGTCAGTTTCCCCCTGGCCAGCTAACCTCAAGCTGTCACAAGGACAAATAACCTAAGCGGTCAGCAAAGCTCTACTTGTTTCTAAACTGAGAGTATCTGGGCAGCAATCTCAACTGTTGTGAAGAGAAATGGCACTTCCCCACCTCAAAAGACACTGACTGGACAACAGCAGTGTGGTGCCCTGAGCCTTCAGGAGGACAACACAGGAATACAGTCCTTGAAAGGATGGTTAGTTTGAGTATCAGCAACTCTTAAAAGATTAGAAACTCTTCCTCCGGCTAAAGCTCTGGGTTCCAAGCTGTTTATTTTTGGTAAAACCCTCTCGTAAGACCTTGGTAAGAAAGTTACAAACGTGCTTTAAGCATTACTTACTCCGGGACAAGCAGTTCTAGCACAGAACAGTCTAAAAGAGGAAGAAGCAGCTAGTAAAATGTACTCAGAGCACCTCTATCTGCAAGGTCCTGAAACACACCTGCAACCCCTCGCCTGTCCTGAAGTCACATTCCTCATTAGTCTCGAAAGCCCTCAGGTCACACAAGACCCTACTTATTTGAAATTACTGAGTGCTAAAGCAGTTCTAAAGTGGCCTCTGTTGTCTCTTGATCAGCATTTCTGCATCAAGTTCAAGGCAGGCTGTTGACAAATCAAACACAAAGGGGCTGGGTCAGACCCACCTCCCCTGCTCTTCCAGGGCCCAGGGAAATGGGGGGTAGAAATTAAACGAAAAATGCCTTGGGAACACCAGACTCCTTTCTTGTGCCTGTGTTATAAATGAACAATGAACAATGAAATCTTTCCTCATTAGTGAGGAGAGGTGTTCCTGGCATTCCGAGTTTCCATTTCTGGAATGCCAGGGGCATGCACAGTGCTGCACACACAGTTTATGATGTCCAGGCCCCCTGCTTGCCTTGGCCTCTTATGTTGTAACAAAATGAACTACAGCAGCAGCGAGGCAGGTCACACCTGTGAAGAGAACTGATTTTCTTCACTTCACCACTAACTAGAAAGAATGTTCCAGAACGGTTGGAAGAAGAATATGTTCCATGGGAAGAAATGAGTGGATTCAGCATCCAGGAACACAGACTCCAAGAAAGCAGGCCAGACAAGAAAAATCCTGCTCTTACTACTCATGAGTAACTTCTCCATAGGTCTTTTCAAGAAGGAGATCTGGGTGCATTTCACCCATTACATACCTGCTTTGATGAAGAATTTTTTAAAGCATTTCATTTCTTTTCATTTCATTTCATAGAGCAAGTGTGAGCAGGGAGGAAGGGGTCGAGGGGAGAGGGAGAGAGAGAGAGAGAAAATCTTAAGCAATCTTCATGCCCAGAGCAGAGCCAATGCAGGGCCCGATCTGAGCCTAAATCAAGAATTGGATGCCTGGGTGGCTCAGTTGGTTAAATGTCCAACTTCAGCTCAGGTCATGATCTCACAGTTTGTGGGAGCCCCACGTCAGGCTCTGTGCTGACATCTCGTTGCCTGGAGCCTGCTTCAGCTGTGTCTCCCTCTTTCTCTGCCCCTCCACCGCTTGCACTCTAGCTCTCTTTTAAAACATTAAATGTTTTTTTAAAAAGAATTGGACACTCAACTGACTGAGCCACCTGGAACAATTTTTTTCCTGCCTTAATTTGTATACTGTCTCTGACAATCCACAACTGGTGTTGATTAGTTCAAAACAAAAGGGACAGAAAAGCCAGAGTGACTTAAGAGGGCAAAACCATTATTTAAAAGCTGCCAACTGGCCTGCACCCTTTAGGACTAGGGTGGGGAACAACTCTTTAGGGCGTCCCTTGGGTTATCTCAGTTGGAAAGGAAACGATTTTGCTTTACCCTTCACGTGTCTTCTGGCTGGTCTGAGAATCCAATTGACATAAGACATATTAACAACAGAAAATCAAATTTAATTTTTTACATTCAGGAACCCACATGAGATTCCAAAGACAGTCACACCAAATGAGGTATATATGTCATCCTGAGCTAAAGGGAAGGAGGCAGGGGTTAGGGATTTCAATGGGAAAAAAGACAATTCATAAGAATGGAAAGAGTAAATGTTTGGTAAATGAATGTTTGCTGGGCCATCCAGAAACAGTGGGACACAGAGAGGCATTGTAACAGACTTTGCCAAGTTCCTCCCTGTCTACCGCCCCTAGTTCATACTATAGTGTAGTTCTGTGGGGATTCTGTGGGGGCCTCTGTCTAAACTCTTTTAGGCACTTAGGGGGAAAGTCAAAGTTTCTTCCTGAGTCTTCTGGGCCTTGATTGTTCTCAGCTCAAAATAATCTACAGGCCAAAGTGGCACGTTTTGGGGCTACTCATTCTGACCCCTGCATCTCTGAAACAAGCAAGGGCTTGGCTCTTCAAACCAGAGACTAGGATCTAACTTGCTCTTGTTTCGATTGTTGCTTCAGATCTCCTCATGCTTCTGCATTTCTGGCTTCACCTAAGAAGGATATGCATTTGCCTGCTTTGTTTCAAGTTCCAGTTGTCTTATCTAAGGTACTCAATTTTTTTTTTTTTAATTGAAAAGAAACCCTTAGTGGTTCCAGGATGACATAGAATGTAAATGTAAAGGTATTTCCTATCTCCTTAGCAGATCCTTGAGCCTGGAACACCATCATTGTCCTGTAGATATTTGCTGAATGAAAGAATGAGCACCACCCCCTCACCCCAGCTCAAGTGCACCAGCCCTAAGAATAAAGGTTGCAATCGTCAAAAAGCAGGGGGAGGAATCCTATTGAGAAATAGGCCCTGAGGCCTTCAGGACTTCCCAGCTGGTGTTCAGAGCCAGTCCCAGCCTCTGGACCCTCTGACCCTGTCCCATCACCACCTTGGATCCCTATGTCTCCCACCTACAGCATCCTACACCCATGGGCTTTCATATTGTCCTCCTCATGTCCCCTCCACCTCACAGAAATCAACTATGACTGGCTGCCAGGGGACACGCCTACAGGGCACTGCCCAGAGGGTTCCTGATCTTAAAGATGCGAGGAAGTCAGCAGCTCCCCTAGACCGAGGGAGAGCGTTCCGGGGTGTCCCAGCAGTTCTCACCTGAAAAGTACACGTACCCACAGGGCGGCTGCTAGCGTGCCCAGGCGGGGCTCCCAAGCACTTGGCACAGTGCCCCTCAGTGTGACGTCCCACCGTGCTGACAGCTCCGCTCTGTGAGCCACCGTTGCGTCGGCCTTGTGTCACGAAGCAGACAGCGGCTTACGGAGCCCTTCCTATGCGGTTTAGCGCAGATGGGGAGAGGAGGGAGTCAGATACCGCCTGGGCGAACGCTGCGTGGACGGCACGGGTGCATGGCAGCCAGCTGAGGCTGGAAAAGCGCCCTCGGGGCGGTGGGAGGGAGGGGTAGGGTGAGCAGAGAGCCCCAGGGAGTGTTTCCAGAGGAAGTGGCGTCCTTGTGCGAGCTGGAAGTTATTTCCACGGTGGAGGGAAGCGCCAGGGGAGCAAAAACGCGGAGCCTGAGCGTGCAGGAAGGGCTTGTAAACGTCAAGGAGTCAGGCCGCTGCAGGGGGCTTGCCGGGACGGGAACCGAGCCGACGGGTGCGTCCGGCGGGAGCGCTGCGCGGCCCAGGCAGAGGAGCCGCGGCGAGACCTTACGGGTTTTCAGCACGGGAAGGACAGGGGCAGGGCTGTGCTTGAGAGTCACTGCACGAATCCCCCAACATCCTAGACAGGCATGTAGGTACGAGTGACCCCAGGACATGCGCCAGGGGGTCTCTTCTTCACGAGACACGACTTTCACCGTCAGGATCCACCCGACGATTGCTGCAGAACCGGCTAGAAGCCGTCCTGTCTCCCTGAACTTCCGATTCATACAGCCTCTCGCCTGCCACCGAGCGCCTCCTCATCCCAGGCTGGCTGAATCTCTTCCGAGGCTTTAAGACTCCAGGCCCCAGACCCGCTGGGCGGGAAAGGCGGGAGAGGAAGCATTAATGACGACCCAGGCAGGTGGGAGGCCGGTTTCCGCAAGGCTTAGAATTTCATGGATGCAGTACTCAGAGGTGGCCGCTAGGGGGCATGCGAGAGCAAGCTGCGTGAAGGCGGCGGGTCTCGGGCAGGCCCAGCGGCTTACAAATCCATTCCTCCTGCGAGGAAAGACCGCAGAGCTCCAGTGCCTCGCCCTCATCCTCACCGGGTGAGGAGCTGCTCCTCCGCCGCCGACCCCGCTCCTCCCACGTCTGCGTGTGAAAGACCGTTGCCAGTTGCCCCTGCACATTGTAAAGGCAAGTAGGCGGAGGGAAGACAAATTGGACCTTTCGCCGTGTTAGGGTTTTGGGCTGCGCCTGAGAATTGAGTTGATATAGGACAGATTGATAGAAGAAGAGCCTACGAATCTATTTAATATGCATTTTACGTGACACAGGAGACCTCACAAGGAAATGAAGACCCAGGGAAGGGGCAAAACCTGAATGTCTTGTGCTCGGCTGAACAGAGATAGCCGAGAAAGTACCTAAAATAGATGGGGAGGCTAAGGAAGGTAACGATTATTTTAAAGAGGTCTGTGAGTACACAATTGTACAGAGTTGGCCGCCACCACGGAGGCCAGCACGTGTCCCCTGTGAGGTGAATGTGGGCTCAGCCCGCAGCTGCTGGGTTCTGGAAAGAAACTCTGGTATCTGGTGGGAGTGGAATGCACTGCAGACACTCTATCTCTTCCTTGATCCTCTAAATCAGGGACTCGCCGGGAGGCTTCGGCGGCCCTACAGCCAGCTAGAGGTCGTGGCCTCTGGGCACAGGTGCAAAGTGTCTGCCAACTGGCCCCCTTCCTCTTCCAGTCACAGGTCAAAGGGCAGAACTCCAAACATCCACCCTCCAAGTGGCATTCCTGCCCTGCCCAGGGGCGGTCCTGTACCAGACACCATTGTCTGTGCGTCTGGAGCAGTTCTCACTGAAGAGAGACAGAAAGGAAACAGAGACTCAGAGACTGAAAGACAGGGAGAGGAAAACAAACAGCAAAAAAGCAGCAGCAGAGAGGTAGGGAGGGGGACAAAATACCAAAAAAAGGAAACGCAAGAGGAGAGCAGAGCTAATGAAGAAGAAAAATAGACCATGAACACAAAGAAATGCAGCCTCCACGTTCCCCCATTTAAATGTCTACTGTGGGGCGGCTTCTTCACGAGACACGACTTTCACCTGCCATCTACGAGAGACCCCTCGACGCCGGGGACCGGGGAAGAGCCAAGTGTAGTGCAACAGCTGGATAACTGAGGCCAAGTGATCACTTGCTCAGAGCGCCTTCACGAGGCGGAGCAGATGGATGTGGCCGCCTGGGGACTCCCGCTGGCGTCCCCCTGAGACCCCCTTTGCCTATGTGCTGGGCTGGGTGTCACCGAGCTCGAGTTCCTCCATTACCAATGGAGTAGAAAATGCCACCTCAGTCTCTCTGAGCCCGCTCCCCATTCCCTCTCTTCTCTCTTTGATCTGAGTTTGCTGTTCTAGCCTAATGAGTCCGAGTCCAGATGAGAGCAGTATTTCTTTTGCTTTTAGCAGACCTGTGCCAAAACGGCCCCGCTAAAGACGCTGCAGCAGCAGAGACACGGCTGGGAAAATGTATACGAGGGCAACTTCCGGACTCGTTTAGCTATTTCTTTCTCACTGAGTCTTAAATTTTGAAAGCTGTGATCAGCACGGAAACTACCTTGCATGCTCCTAAGCCTGTGTATATTGATCAAACACATATAACGACAAATATGTTTTATAAATGATTTAATAATGACACCACTGACCTGAAATAATGACTGTCATAAAACCCAAGTTTAAGAAGTCTGGACAGTAGGTTTGACAGCTGTTGACAATATTTCATATATATTCGAAGTTTTTCCTAGTCAGCCATGTGAGTGTTTTAAAAACCATATTCAGCTTTATTCTTTAATCAAGATGACTGTTATTTTCAGACAGCGGGAAAATGTGTAATTATCATAGGGGTTTTTTTGAAAATATGTCTCTGATCGCCACCCTTTTCAAAGAGATATAAGAACCCCTAGGCCCTCATATGGGTCCTAAGAGTCTACTTTCTCCCTGAGGAAAGGTGGTCTTCATATGACCCTTTATCCAAGGAAATTTCTGGCTTACTGAAACTAAATACATGTGCTGACAAATCTCTTAACCCTTCTGGGCCACAATTTCCTTACTGTGTTCATTGAAAGAGTTGAACTAGAGGTGACCAAGGAGGTGTCTCTCATTTGAGGCAAGAGTGGAAAGGAGAAAAGGAGCAGAGGTGTCAAAGGGCAGGAAGGTTGGAGGCAAATTTGTCAGTGCTCCTCAGATATGTTCTGATGGCTGTTTTTAAAATGACCATCTGTTGCTTACATTTTTGGTTTTTGTTATGTGGAGAGGTGTGCGTGTGTGTGTGTGTGTGCGTGTGTGTGTGACAGAGAGAGGGAGAGAGAGAAGTGGAAAGAGGGAGAGGAAGAGAAATATACTTCTCTGTTTCTTTATCAAAGATTCAAGAAGGCCAAGGACTGGGGCCATGAGCCAGATCTTAGGAAACTCACTATATTAACCTCAAATATCAGGATGTGTCTAGTTGTGAAATGGGAAGGGCAGGCTTCTGGGGCCTGGCCGAAGGGCGCTTCATACCTCGGCTGGGCTCTCACTTTCTCATCACAGTTTCCAGCGGCTGTCTTGGGGACAGCTGCCCGGAAAATGAGAACCCCATTAACATTTCAGAGCTGCTTTCCTTGGGGGCTCTGACTCTACAGATGATGTAACCAGGGGCCTGTGCTCCGAACCACCAGCCAATTCACTCTCCAGTCCTGCTGCTGCTGAGCTGGCCTTAAGGAAACCCAGAGTGAGAAGCAGATGCTACAGAAGCTTCCAGGGCTAGGAAGGAAAGCGAGGCAGGAAGGAGTAAGCTGGGGACCTACAGAGCATGGAATCCCAAATTGTTAGCACCGACTTCCTTGTACACACATATGTATGGGGTATGTGTGACACTTCAAAATGCTTACAATGAGGGGCGCCTGGATGGCTTAGTCGGTTAAGCGTCCGACTTTCGCTTAGGTCATGATCTCGCGGTTCGTGGGTTCGAGCCCCACATTGGGCTCTTTGCTGACTGCCAGCTCAGAGCCTGGAGCCTGTTTCAGCCTGTGACTCCCTCTCTCTCTGACCCTCCCCTGCTCACGCTGTCTCTCTCTCTCTCTCTCTCTCTCCTAGAAATAAATAAAACTTTAAAAAAAATTAAGAAAAAAAAACAAAAACAAAAACAAAATGCTTACAGTGATTCACCCAGCCAGCCAACATGTGTTGAATGCCTACTGTGTACCAGGTTCTGTGATAGGCTCTAGGGATGCAAAGATCTCTGAGACATGCTTTTGCTTTTCAAGAACTCTCAGCCTGGTGGAGGAAAACAAGCCTTTTAGGAAGGAAGGAAGGAAGGAAGGAAGGAAGGAAGGAAGGAAGGAAGGAAGGAAGGAAGAAGGGAAGGAAGGGAGAAGGGAAGGGAAGGAAGAAAGAAGGGAAGGGAAGGGAAGGGAAGGGAAGGGAAGGAGAGCACCTGAGTGGCTCAGTTGGTTAAGTATCTGACTTTGGCTCAGGTCATAGTCTCACACTTCATGGGTTCGCACCCTGAGTCAGGTTATGTGCTGACAGTTTAGATCCTGGAGCCTGCTTCAGATTCTGTGTCTCCCTCTTTCTCCTCCTCCCTGACTCATTCTGTGTCTCTCTCAAAAATAGCATATCAATTTTTTTTAAATAAAGAAAGAATAACAGTACAAAATGCAACAAAAAGCTATACCAACTCAGGGCACCTGGGTGGCTCAGTCAGTTGGGTGTCCAACTCTTGATTTTGACTCAGGTCATGCTCTCATGGTTTGTGAGATGAAGTCCCACATCAGGCTCTGCACTGACAGCATGGAGCCTGCTTGAGATTTGCTCTCCCCTTCTGTCTCTGCCCCTCCCAGCCTCTCTCTCTCTCTCTCTCAAAATAAATTTAAAAACATTTTTAAAAAAGCTATACCAATGCTGATGGAATCAGAAAGGCAGGCATCCAACACAGATCAGGGCTGTGCAAAATGGTAAGAGGGACAGGAGAAAGACTTTCTGAGAAAGTAACAGGGAAGCTATGCCTTAAGGGATGACGAGCTAACCAGGCTTGGCAGGACAATATATAAACCATTTCATCTTCAGATTCTGGGGGATGACAGACATCATGGTTGTGGAACCCTGCAGTCACATCCGCAGTCATCATTAACTGGCAAGACCCTGCTATGCACCTTTGAGATCTCTCAGATGTGGGTGTTGCTTCATTTGCAATGAACTCTTATGAAGAAGCCAGAAGTCTGGAAAATGGGAAGGAGTGCCCTGCAGGAAAGACAAGAGTCTGCTTATAATGCCACCAAAAACAAACCTACCCAAGGATCCTCCCTTTTCCACTCCCACCTGTGCATGCCTCCCTCATCCTTTAGACTAAGTGTGAATGCCACTTCTTGAAGCCTCTCCCCATTCCTCCTAGGGACGTGGTCTCTCTCTTCTGAAGGCCCAGGAGTATCATCGCCACTTCTGTGATATAGTGTGTCCAACCTTGGATCACAGCCTCAGAGATGCATCTTAGTCTCAGAACTCACAGCTGGGAGGGAGGGTGGAGAGAGGGCCGAACCCCCACAGGTATTGCCCTCAGGGTATCAGGGAAGATCTGGCAGAAGATGGAATCTTCCAGAAGCCAAGCCTCTCTCACCCCTCACCCCCCACCCCGCCCCGCATCAGACAGTGGTCCACTCTCAGCTATCCTCAGTTACCTGCAACCAATCTTCTAGGTCATTATTCCATGCTGTTGTGGTGTTTCCTGGGTTGGAATGCCTGCCCCACGCCTTTTCCACCCCACCAACACCTACCCAAGAATTGCCTGCTCTTTTAGGCCATCTCAGACCTTTCCCTCTATGCCCCCCCACCCCCATCCAGATTAGCTCCGGAGCTTTTTTCAGTTTCACTGTGGCCTCAACGTATTAGTCACCATACCCTCCACACCATTGTGCTTCCTTGAACAGAGTCTGCTGGGTGTGAGCTGCTTGAGGTCTGAAGCTATGTGTTATTTGTTTCAGAGACCCCAGTACCTAATGAATGGGCAAATGAATGAATTTGTATTTTTCCCTGACCTTCCTTAGGGCCAGAAAATGTCTTATTCATCTTTGTGGCCCCAGCCCATCACCCTCCACGGGGTGGCCTCACAATAAATGTCTGTTGTTGAATGAATGAATTGAGTTGTTCACACTCATACTTTAACATACCAACCCACAACACTGTAATACTCACTTGATTCTTTTTAAACGGCCTAGAAAAATGAAATGTATTTTAAATATTTGTGAGGAGAATCCAACTTTGTCCCTAATTTTCAGTCCTCAAATCTTCAATAATAATGCCTTGTCCAAGTGCTTTATGTCTTTCAGAGGATGAAGCTACTTGTAGACCAGTCCACCGAGGATCTTAGGCACACACCACAGGCACCCCACATGCTGCACAGATATATTCCTCCCCTTTCCATTTCCCTCCCAGGGCAGCAGGAATGGGTCAGGGCGTAGGTGTACACACATGTAGTAACAAGTCAATAGGCCATCAAATAACAGGAAAGGGCTCTAATTCATAGCCATTTTCCGTTTGCCCCTGTGACCCATCTCCCCCATATTATAACATTCTATGAACCTGCCTCATGACTCTGATATCAGTGTGAGTGAAGAAGGGTAAGTTGTACCTGTACTACTGTATGCAGGGGTCCCAAGGTCACTGCCTAGTCTGTGGCTCATGCCCTCCTGCCTGAAGTCTTTCTGAACCTACCAGCTGGAGCCAAGCCTGGACTCAATGTCCACCCAGAATGGGGATGAGACCAGAGACTCCCTCTCTGTTTTATGGAAGGAATAACTGTGACCTCTCTTATTCCTCCACCTCTTTTCCCCTTCTTTGCTGCCCCAGGTACTGCCACCATTTCCTTACCTCTCTCTGTTTCTCTCTCCTCTTAGGCCAGGAGGGACATGAGTAACCCCACACTGGCCAGAAACAAGCAGCTGTGCTCCACATGTCAAGAAATAAAAATGGTAGGTCAGTGGGATGACAGAGATGGGCATGGGCATCCCAGGGCACAGCAATACCCCTTCCCCACCAGGGCCCAGTGGTGAGAAACCATGCTTTTTGCAGGGAAGGCCTTGATAAGGGCTGCAATTAAGTACCCACTGGCCCTGGGAGCACCATTATCTGACATAGTATGATAAATCCCCCCCATTTTCAGCAAACCAGAAGATAAGGTAGATCAGTCAGAGGGAGACAGATGAGATGAGTCACTTTACCTTGAGACCCTAAGGTAACCTCACACCTATAGAGGTTCAGGAGATTATGGGACTTCTTCCCCCTTAATATTTCCCCAACACAACACAACACACACGCAGACAATACAATCTGCCTCTACCAATTCAGTCATAAAATAAGTGGCTTAATCTTTGGGTCTATTGATTCAACCAGCACCTCAGGATAAAGGCTAAGAAGAGATTCTATAGTACTTTCTAGCTAGTGGGAGGAGTCTGTCACTGGGGGTGCAGAATGGTGGGGAATGAGGGAGTATTAAGAAAAGAAAGAGGAGAGGCGCCCAGCCGGCTCAGTGGATTAAGCATCTGACTCTTGATTTCGGCTCAGGTCATGATCTCACAGTTTATGAGTTCTAGCCCTGAGTCAGGCTACGCACTGACAGTGCAGATCCTGCTTGGGATTCTCCTTCTCCCTCTCTCTCTGCCCCTTCCCTCTCTCAAAATAAACAAGTAAAATTTTAAAAAATTTAATTAAAAAGAAAAGAAAGAGGACAGCATGGGAAGATGGAGGACACAAGGACCAAGGCCTACCATCTGTCAGAGTCGCTACAGAAAGAAGCCCTTGTCTGCAGGGATGCCATACAGGTCAGAGTTAGGACTTGGGTCAGTTTAAGGATTAGGGTTAGGGCCAATCCGGCTTGGGTCAAAGGTTAATTTAGCTAAATGGATAGGTTCAGGGTAGGAGTTGAGGAAGGGTCTTTACAATTCCGATATCCTATGATTCTCCTTTGAGTCTGGGCCGCTGTGTAATAAGAAGAAGGGCAAGAAGTGGAAGAAAAACAAGAGACATGTGAGAGCCTCCTTCGATGAAGTAGTGGTGAAAGTGCTTTGACTAATAGGACATGAAAGAGACCGGCAGTTTTGTGAAACTTTTGTGTGAGATTTGGAAATGTAACTGAGCTACCAACAAAAGTGTCTCTGATTGTTACAATCTATGTTCACGTCCTAGTTCATAAAGATCACAGTGTTCAGTGTTGGCGTTGACTGGCATCTGGGAAACTGGGATTGGGATTTCTTCTGGTCTTATTCCTGGAATCACCGTGTCCACATTTAGAATGCACTGACCCCGGGCCCAAGCTGGCCTTGGCCAGCTGGCTCACTTGGGACTTCAGCAGCTGTTTTCTTTCTCAAGACCTCTTCTCTGACCTTTGCCCTTGTCCAGACCTGACTGGATAGAACCACTGTGGTTTTACTGTTTGCTGCAGATGCCCAGAAGAAGGACCTCAAACAAGAAAGTGAGAACCAGTGCACACACGCCCAGTGAGAAACTATAGTAAGTTCGAACATGAACGTGAAATACCCTTGCTTCACTATGTACAATAGTGCCTTAACCTCCTCCTGGGGTCAGGGGTACTGCATATCTGCTGGAGTCACTGAGACCCCCCCCCCCCACCCTCCTTTCTCAGCAGGGGATTAGACGTAGATGCTGGAGAAGATAAAGACTCCTAGAAATAGAAGGAACTTCTTCAACCTGATAAATTGTGACTCTGGAAAACCCACAGCTAACATCATACTCCATGAAGAAAGACCGGGTATTTTCCCCTTAGATGAGGAACAAGATCAGGATGTCCATTCTTGCTGCTTCTGTTTAACAGGGTACTGTATGTTCTAGTTAGGGTGATTAAGACAAGAAAAAGAAATAAAAGGCAAACAGACTGGAAAGGAAGACATAAAACTGTATTTGCAAACAAAACAAAAAAAAACAAAAAACTGTATTTGCAGATGACATAATCTTATATTCAGAAAGTCCTAAGGGACCCACAGGAAACAAATAAAGCTATTACATGGGTATAGCAGAGTTACAGGATACAAGATCAAAAAACAAAAATCAGTTCTATTTCTATATACTAGCAATGACCAATTCAAAAATGAAATTAAGAAAGCAATTCCATTTACAATAATAGCATCACAAAATTAAAATACTTACGAATAAATTTAACAAAAATAAATGCAAGACTTGTACATCAGAAGCTACAAAACATCACATAGAGAAATTAAAGAAGATCTAAACAAATGGTGGGGGGGAACATGATTACGGCTTGGAGTGCTTGGCATTATTAAGCTGGCAATACTCCCAAAATGGTCTACACATTCAATACAATCCTCAAAATCTTGTAAGAGGTTGTTTTTTTTTTAAGAAACTGACAAGCAGATCTTAAAATTTATATGGAAATGCAATAGATGCAGTATACCCAAGACGCTCTTGAAAAAGAACAAAGTTACAGGACTCGCACTTCCTGATTTCAAAACTTGCTATAAAGCTACAATAAACAAGATTTTGTGGTACTGACCTAAGGATAAACATATGGATCAGGGGAACAGAATTGAGAGTCCAGAAATAGAACCTTACATTTGTGAACAGTTAAAAAAAAATTAACAGGAGAAAACCAAAAGTAATTACATACATCTGGGATCTGCATAAGAATTAGAATAAGAGAGGGGCACCTGGGTGGCTCAGTTGTTTAAGTGTCCTACTTCGCCTCAGATCATGATCTCACAGATCGTGGGTTTGAGCCCCACATCAGGCTCTGTGCTGACAGCTCGGAGCCTGTAGCCTGCTTCAGATTCTGTGTCTCCCTCTCTCTCTGCCCCTTCCTTGCTTATACTCTGTCTCTCTTTCTCAAAAATAAAATAAAACTTTTTAAAAAAGAATTAGAATAAGAGGTCCTGAACAGCTAATTTTTAACAAAGGTGTCAAGACAATTTAAGGAGGAGAGAATAGTTTTTTTCAGTAAATGGTACCTAGACAGCTCTATATCCACATGCAAAAAAAGTGAAGTTGTGTCCCTCCCTCACATCATATACACAAAAGAGCTACAAATGGATCAAACACCTAATTGTAAGAGCTAGAACATAAAACTCCTGGAGGAAAATAAGTGTAAATCTTCATGACCTTGAATAAGGCAATGGTTTCTTAGATATGTCAACAAAAGCACAAACAACCACAACAAAAATACATAAATTCTACTTCCCGAAAATTAAAAATCTTTTTGCTGCAAAGAACATCAAGGACATGAAAAGACAACCCACAGGTTGGGAGAGCATGTTTGCAAATCATCTATCTAGTAAGGGACTAGAATCCAAAATATTAAAAAAAAAAAAAACTCACCCCATTTACAACTCCACAATAAAAACAAACATCCTGATTTTAAATTGGGCAAAAAACTTCAAAAAACATTTCTCCAAAGAAGATACATAAATGGTCAATAAACCTGTGAAAAGGTGCCTAACATCATCAGCCTTTAGGGAAATGCAATCAAAACCATAATGAGATATTATTTTTTAAATTATTTATTTATTTTAATGTTTTATTTATTTTTGAGAGAGACATAGAGACAGCATGAACAGGGGAGGGTCAGAGAGAGAGAGGGAGACACAGAATCCAAAGACAGCCTCCAGGCTCTGAGCTAGCTGTCAGCACAGACCCCGACACGGGGCTCAAACCCACGAACCATGAGATCATGACCTGAGCTGAAGTTGGACACTCAACTGACTGAGCCACGCAGGCACCCCTATTTATTTTTGAGAAAGAGAGAGAGAGCAGGGGAGGGGCAAAGAGAGAGGGAGACACAGAATCTGAAGCGGGCTCCAGGCTCTGAGCTGTCAGCACAGAGCCCAATGCAGTGCTTCAATGCATGAACCGAGAAGTCACGAACTGAGCCGAAGTCAGATGCTTAACCTACTGAGCCACCCAGATGCCTCCTAATGAGATATTATCTTACATCCACAAGAACAACCATAATAAAAAAGTGGATGACAATAAGTGTTGATGAGGATGTGGAAAAACTGGGACCCCCATACATGGCTGGTGGGAATGTAAAACAATGCAGCTGCTTTAGGAAACAGCTTGGCAATTCCTCAAACTGTAGAGCCAACAATGTATGACCCAATGGTATGAACAATTGTATGTCCCAACAATTCCATCCTAGATGTATAAGCAAGAGAACTGAAAACGTATGTCCATACACAAACTTGTACAAGAATGTTGATAGCAGCGTTATTCGTAATAGTGAAAATACCTCAAAGGTCTATCAACTGATAAATGCATAAACAAAATGTGATTCAATCCATATAATAGCATATTATTCAGCCACAGAAGGAAAGCACTTCTATATGCTACAACCAGGATAAACCTTGAAACCATTTTGTTATGTAAAAGACACCAGACAGTAAACAGCACATATTGTATTGATTTCATTTATATGAAATGTCCGAAAAAGGCAAATCTAGAGAACTAGAAAATGGGTAGTGGTTGCCAGGGATATGAATGAAGAAATGAAGAGTGAGTGCTAATGAGGACAGAGTTTCTTCCTGAGCTGGTGAAAATCTTCTGGAAGTAGATAGTGGCAATTGTTGTGCAACTTTGTGACACTACTAAAAACCACTGAGTTGGACGCTGAGATGGTGAATCATATGGTGTCTAAATTTATGAAAAGATTAACACTAGAAAAATATTTAAAACAATAAAAGCATCAAGTGGATGAATACCAAAAACAGAAAAATCCTAAATAGGACCTGGCATGTATAAACTACTCATATTCCTGCATGAGTACCCACACCAGGAGCTCAACTGTTTAGTGTGGAAGTAATACCCACTGAATGTTAGGGTTGTGAGTCACCAGGGTATCTGCCTAACCTTTATGTAAACTGTCTCTTACTACATCTCTGCTCCAAACAACTCATATTCCCCTTAAAATGTCTATTTTGTAGTCCTTCTGTTATCTGCATTGTTCTCTAATACACACTTTCAAGCCCTTTCAAAGTAAGATGTCAAGCTGGACATACTGTAGGGAGTTAGAGGCATTCTCTAACATATGTAAATTAACTGGTTCCAAAAGTCTATTTATGTAATTCAATTCATTGCAACAAATATGTATTAATTGCCTACCATGGGCCAGATGCTTAGGTAATAAATAGCTCAGCTATGAAGGAAAAATAAGTAAATAAAAGAATAAGACATAAGCCAATAGGTAAGCAAATAATGATAATAAAATGATGAATAGAAATAGAAATGGACCTGGTGGGAAGGTCAACGTTTTCAAGACTGAATAGGAAGGAGATGACCACATGACACACTTCTTCTCAGGGACAAACATGCGATCTTTGGTAGCTTTGTTCTGGGGGAGTCCCCGTAGCCCACTCATGCATACAACAGTACTAGCTGGATTTAGGGGCTTTTGAAAAGGATCATGCTAATCAGGAGAAGGTAGAGATTTTCCTTCATATTTCTTTGGAACAGAGCCAACTTCGGAAGAAACTTGTGAAAAAGCAGTGTGTCTCCCTCATTCTCATCCCTTCTCTGTATCTAGAAATCTTTTCTCAGGTTCTCACCAAAGTCTTTGCTGTCCTCCCTACTCCCAGATGCTCCTGTTACTGGATCATTCTTTACTCCCCCTCCCCTCACTTTCCCTCAACTAATGAGTTACAACAATCTTCTTAAATACTGTAGGTGCTTGGCATTTCATTAACTTAATATTAAGATTTTTCTCTATTTTCAAGCACCTCTGAAGGTCCTTAATTTGCAGTTTTGTTGTGTCATAAATTTATTTGTTTTTAACTTTGAGAGAGAAAGAGAGAGACAGGTCATGAGTGGGGGAAAGGCAGAGAGAGAGAGGGAAACAGAATCCAAAGCAGGCTCCAGGCTCTGAGCGTCAGCACAGAGCTCGATGTGGGACTCGAACTCACAGACCTTGAGATCATGATCATCCAAAGTCGGATGCTTAACCATTTAACCAACTGAGCCACCCAGGTGCCCCCTGGGTCATAAATTTAAATTGCAAGTCACTCAATGAGTAGCCCAGCTGAACACCTGCACCAGCATTTTGTTATTATCTTTTCATTGTCATGGCTACAATATCTTTTGAGAAATAATGGGAAATATGATTATTAGAGAAAGCCTGAGCCCCAAAAGAAAACCAATATCTAGTACTAGTAACAAACCTGAAAAAGTTCAAGAAAATAATGTCTTAATCAGGAATACCATAACTGTATAATTTATTTTAGTCCTATATGAAGGGCACACTTAAAACTTCCAAGTGTGTTTCAAAGGGGGTTCATTCATTCACTAAATTGTTCAACAAATATTTCTTAAACAGACACTGTGTTAGAACCTGGAAATACAATATTAGAGACATGGTCTCTGCCCTGGGGAGGCTGAAAGTCTATAAAGGAAACCAGACATCAAGCAAGGAAATACAATAAAAACCTTAGGAGTATTCTGATAGAGGAAACCTAGGGAACAGTGAGAACCGAAGGCAGACCACCTAACAGTGGTCTGGGAGTCACTGGTGTATGTGAGGAGCTGACAGGTGATCTGAGACCTGAAGAATATTGGAGGTGAGCTCCATAAAGAGAATTGGAGGATTCATCAATCTTGAGGTTTCTAATTTTAAAATCTGATAACCTGGGAAGAGCACAGACCCTATGAATTGTGCGCAGGTGACCCCTCTGGTTCATTCATGTCACAAAAGAATATATGAATGATTCTAACACTAGATACAACTTGAATTTGCTAAGGTGGTGCATTATTTATTTAAATTGGGTTACAGTTTTGGGCAATGCTCTAAATGAGACTTTCTTTCAGGTACAACCAAGAACTCTGATGATTCCTCATAATCTGAAACTATCCTTTGAGAATTTTATGAGTCATAGGTAAGTCTAAGATTTCATTCAAGACATTATTTTAATTCTGATTACATCAGTTTGGGGGCAAAGAACAGTGGATTGAGAAACACAGGAAGTAGAATGTTCAGGGAATCCTTAGTGAATGGGCCTGTTGACTGGTTTCATTTCCTGGTTAAACAAGATAGTTAGACCAAAAAAGTTGTTTTCATCCTTTTCCTTGAGCAGCTACTGAAATTATGGTAGAAGGTAGAATCCGCCTTTCCACTTCCCCAAGAACAGTACAAGGGGGAGATGGGAGATTCCTCTGGTAACTCAGGCAGAAGTGAGCACACATTCTACATGCAGATGACTTCTGTAAGTGAGAAGGTATGGGAGATTGTGCATAATCTGTTCTCAGTCCAGGACATTCTCTGCTACTTTTTACTAACTAAAATTCCTGTCATCCATTTGTATGGTGATCATTGGCTGCTTTCTTAACAAGCTCAAGTGCATAAAAAATAAAATCCATTCAGACTTTTGATGAGTTGGATTTCAGGGTAGTTTTCTTCTTCTTCTTCTTCTTCTCCTCCTTCTCCTTCTCCTTCTCCTTCTCCTTCTCCTTCTCCTTCTCCTTCTCCTTCTCCTTCTCCTTCTCCTTCTCCTTCTCCTTCTTCTTCTTCTTCTTCTTCTTCTTCTTCTTCTTCTTCTTCTTCTTCTTCTTCTGTATTTAGCTATCAGAAAGGGAAGAAGGACTCAATTTTTGCTTCATTAAAAAACTCAAACTACAGACTCACCCTGGATAAGGCATCAGTATAGGTAGATTTATGTACAGTCACAGTCAGACTTGATGCGACCAATCAAAAAAGTTATATGTGATCTAATGACAGCCTTTAACTTTTTTAGCCCATACAAAGGCAATAATATGGAAAAACAAATGTGTGGGGTTTTTTTGTAATTTTATGTTGGACAGCAGTAGATACTATGATTCCTTTAATGAAATTTGCTCCAAGCTGAGATGTAGATTCTGAGGCAAGGGGACCATGTCCTGAGTGGCTGGTCCCGAGAGATAGCATCTGGGAGGACATGGGTAGTGTATTTGAACCTGACAGGATCCAGCACTAATAACATTGACCTACATTGACTCTATACTTTTAAAAGGCTCCTTTCAGACCATAATAAAAGTAATTTGGCTCAATATTCTTTATCGACTTTAAATGGAAAACTGAACTATCTAAAGTCTGGGACTTCTGAGCATAAGTTTCACTCTCCTATGAAAGAATTTAAAAAAATTTTTAAATATTTATTTATTTTTGAGAGACAAAACATGAGCAGCAGAGGGTCAGAGAGACAGAAGACACAGAATCCAAAGCAGGCTCCAGGCTATGAGCTATCAGCACAGAGTCCAATGTAAGGCTCAAGCCCACAAACCATGAGACCATGACCTGAGCCAAGATCAGATTCTCAACCGACTAAGCCACTCAGGTGCCCCAAGAACTATTGAAATTTGTTGCCCTAGTTTATTTATCTTGCAAGTTTGGTATTTTAAGTGAAGTCCCAAATTCATGAATCATTAGCTGATTTTAAACAAGATCTCATTCCTATTGAGCTAGACTAAAGGTTGAACTAACCCTAAAATCATGTCAACACTAACCTGAAGTATCATTATGTTGGCCATTTTTTTTCCAATGTTATGAAGGAAAACAGACCCCTTCTGTTTGAGATTTAGGTAGTGTGACTATAAAGTAAGGTCCTGGTTCTGTTTGTAGCTTATTAAATTGGTCCTCACGGTTTTTGAGTCTCAGGTAGAATTGTACTTACTGAAATAATAGTTTTTTAAAAGTGACTTTAGGGTGTCTGGGTGGCTCAGTTGTTAAGCATCTGACTTTGGCTCAGGCCAGGATCACACAGTTCATGAGTTTGAGTTTCACATGGGGTGAGCTTGATCCCTGCTTTGGGTGAGCTCTACCTCTCTCTCTCTCTCTCTCTCTCTCTCTCTCTCTCTCTCTCACACACACACACACACACACACACTTTCTCTCTCTCTCTCAAAAAAGTGACTTAAACTCTACTATTGTAAAAATTAAGGGTTGTGTGTTAAATGGAAGGAACAAAGGCAAGAAGGAAGAGAAAGAGGGAGAAAGAGAGAAGAAATATTAATGGAGGCATATATATTTGTTGAATTATAATGCAAACAAGCCTTAAATAATTCAGTCTGACAAATACCACTTTCTGGTTTGCTCAATATGGGTGATAGAAGGGATTTTTTTTTCTTAGTCCCACTGAGTCCCCCAATGACAGTTGAGTAAAATAAACTGGCCAGATGGGCCATATTTTTGGTAACAAAGTAAAAATAATCTTGGAAAGTCTTTGTAGAAATAGAAACCATGAAATGAATGTAGAGACTTAGATATCCCATTAAAGTTTACAGGTCTGTCAGCCTTTAGAAATTAAGCAATCTAATATAGAAATGGTTTGGGCTCATATCTGTTTTGGTCGAGGGTCACGTCCACAGCCTTAGACACCAGGAGAAATAGGATGTGGTCAAGACATTTTCTCCAAATCTGAAAGTGAAATAGGTGATGGGGATTAAGGACTGCACTTGTCGTGATGAGCACCAGGTGATTAAAATAAGAACTTAAAATAAATAAATAAATAAATAAATAAATGATTCTTTATAAAAATTTACTTAATCGAAGTTGGATTAACAGCAAAGTATTTCTACATGGTTTCTGTTTTGCTTTAATAACACTCAAAAGTAGAGAAATGAGTCTAACACAATAATATTGATGTCCGGTAATGACATCTCAACAGGTTTGAGTACTTATAGTGGGTAACATACTACCTCCACAGTAGTAGAATGAAGAGGATAAAACAAGATATTTTTAAGGTAAAAATACGTGAAATGAAATGAAATGAAATAAAAAGGTTCTAACCAAAAGATTCTGTTTTGCACTTGAAGGGTAGATTATGGGTCTGGAAAAATTGTTACTTTTTTCTGGATGCTGGAGGGTTCTTGATTCCTTCTATTTTTAGACCATACGTGTTCTGACAGTGAATGAAATATTTATTTCAATGAGGTTTTTATCTAAATCCATAAAGCAAGAAGAGCCTGAGATGCAGTGGTCTCTGGTCCAGCCATCTCACCCTGCGGCAAAGTGGTCTGAGCACCAGGTTAACAGGTGCTGGACTCAAGACAGCATCTGTGTTGTAAAATGTATAAAAGTACATTCCTTTCCACCGAGCTCAGTGCCCTACCTAATGTGTTTTCTTGCTTCTTCCAAACAGAATGAGTCTTCCTCCACCAAAAGCCAAGACTGTATCTGAAGATTCCAGTAATGACATCTCAACAGGTTTGAGTTTTTAGAATACTTGTAGTGGGAAACATACTACCCCAACAGTAGTAGGAGGAAAAGTTTAATCCCTAAGATAGGTTCTAAAGTATCTGAACATGTTCCCACTGCCCGCCTCTTTCTCTTTTCACATACTGCTTACAGCCTGTTTAGACTGATCCTCAGCCCTCCCTTCACACCAGCCCACCTGCCCCCTCTCCAGGCCTCACTGGCTTTTATCACCGCCACATTCCTTCCCAGAGCCTCTACGTGCCACATGGCCCTGTCTCATTCTTTCTAAAGAGCCCCGTAATCTACTTGCTGAAGAATTTTCATGGAAATGGGGCACAAAGTAGGTAATTCTGTCTCAGTACCAGTTAAGGTGGGAAAGGAACTGCTTGCCCACACACCTGGATGGCCTCACCAAAGCCCTGAACCTTCCACCCCACAGGCTTCCTAAACCGCCTGCCTTCTCCCAGCAGTGGCCCAGTGCTATTCTTATGTTCACTTGCTATTAATAGAAAAAAAGGATAGCATACACACATAAGATGAGCACATTATGTTCTTGGAGGTACTCTGGCTCTTGTGCCTACAGTCCATCCAAGGACAGAATCTTAGAGGGGGACTTCAGGAGGGTGCTTCTGGAGCTGGCGAGGAGTGGAAGCCTGGTGGACCTACTGTAGATTGCCGCCGTGACACTTCTAAGCTTCCCCGAGGTTATTGTAAAAGCACCAGCCTAGAAGCAAGGAGGCCTGGCCTCCAAGCCTCATCTTGCTGTACAGGGCTGACCAAATTCTTTAACCTATCTGGGCCTCTGTGTTCCCACCTGTAAGACCAGAGAAGCTTTCTGCCTGCCCGCCCCCTCCCCTGAGAGCCAGACACTTCGTCCAAGCAGCCTTTATCTTTGATCAGCCCAGAAAAACTGCTGACACAGCTCTGGCCCCGGTGGTTTACATGGCTTAGACGTGTCCCTGACGAAGCTCTTGCTGCTTGCTGCCCAAGCTGCCACCCACCTGTGCAGCAAGGCCCGTGGACATGCTCCACATGCCAGACAGCTGACTCATCCCAGTGAACATTCCTGCCAGTCACTGCCCAACTCTTCTCATTGATCGCAACTGCAACTTCTAGTATTTTTCTGGATTCAGCTAACCTTTGTATATTATCAGTATACCAAGTATACCATTTACTTGGTGAGACCCAAGTAAACGGAAAGAGCCTATCTCTGTCCATGATGGGGATTTTTTTCTAGATTCAGTTATCTTAACTCTGACTTTGAGTCCAGAATATCTCATGACACAAGCTATTGTCGGTAAACATTGGTGGAGATGTGAACCACCTGACTTGGCCGACCACCTGGCCCAGTGAGGGGACACTGAGCTAGGATTAAAGAGATCTGGGTTCTGGTCTTAGGTCCATCAGTGCCTGTGACCCTGGACCTTTGTTTCTTCTTTATTCCAGTGATGAGACTGAACCGGATCCTAGGTCTGTAGTCTTGTGACATCTCTTAGCTCTCACTCAGCTGGAGCAAGGAGCTTTTCCAGAGAATTCAGGACTCCCAAGTCCCTTACATTCAGTGACTTCCAATAGAAAGATGTTATTTCATGCACTAATTTACTCTCCTTCAAGCAATGTGTCTTTTGGAAAAGTTGAAGATTAAGCAACTTTTTTATAAATAGAATCATGTTTGAAGAAGAGGTCAGGATGATGAGGTTTTTAAGGAACCCTAAATTAAATCATTTCATAAAATGATGGTTCATTCTGACATGCAAGTACTATCACAATTTTTTGTAAGATCACGTGTGTTTGTTTGTTTGTTTGAAGACAGAACCGTATTTGTGTTCCTAAAAAGTCTTTTGGAAATCAAATCCTCTTTTCCCTTTGACTCACATTATAACTCCAGACACATTTTATATTCACTTTTTATTTAATTGGCCACAACTTTTAATACGAGTTTTGCTTCTAGGTATTCTTCTCTGACCTCCTTGACAAGATTAGTAGAAGCTTAAAGATGGTTTTATTAAAAGAAATTCTTATGTGAACTTCAAATCTGTTTTATAAGGTTGAACAAAGGTCTTTGGTGACTTTTAGATATTTTGAATTTCTTTAAAAATAGACTCTAAGAAGCCCTTGCTTTACCTTCTTCTTGCACTGTCTTCCAGAGAGTATTCACTACAGACTGCCCATTATGGGCCCTAGGACAGCTGTCTTCCACGGACTGTTGGCAGATACCTACAAATCTCTGCAGGAGATGGAGCTCTCTTCTTTGCCCAGAAAGGAGCCCGTGGGCAAGAAAATGATGCAGTGAATGGTTGGAGCTCATCCTCTTCCAGACTCGCCAAGAGAAAACAAGTTAACCAAGCCTGTTTCTGACGCTAACGTATTCTCATAATTCCCCCCACCCCCAGTCACCAAAAAGGTGACTCACTTTTGCCTTTGTGGTTGCTAGAATTCTAGCTCTTGCCAGTCTCCTTCTCACTTTTCCTGAAGATAAGTGGTTTAATTTACATGATGATAAAGATTTGCTGATTCAAATGGAACATTTTGAGTGTCATTAATTTTATTTTTTTAAGATTCATCATTGTGCTGTAATAGACAACACTCTTCTGTTTCTAAGATGTGAATTTTCTGTGAAAATTATTTCAGCTCTTCTTCAGAGAAGAGGGCTGGAGATGGCTCCTGGAGGTCCCTCAGGAGTTCAACCTATTGAGAGAGAGAGAAATGGAGGTCACCCTTCTGTCCTTGTCTCTGTCAGTTAAGTGACAAGAGGATACTATGGTGCAATGGGGAAAATGGCAAGTGATTAGTGGTTGCAGCCGTCAAGGACAGGAATGTGCCTTGTCTTGCCCCGCTCACATGATGTCGTTTAGCGCCCTGTGTATAATCAGATATTCATCTAATCTTTGCTCAGTCGTATCTAAACCACGTGCTTGTATGCTGTCATTTCATTACTTTGGTTTGAGAATGTACACCTTCAACTCTGTCCTGATCCATGTGTCAGCAGTGTGAGGGAGACAGAGGAAAACTCTAGGCTTGGAAATATTACATTTATAGGCACAAGTAGTCCATACCCAGTTTCAGGCAGGCTCATATAAAATTCTTTATATCCATTCTTTATGGTGCAGTGGCCTTGTGGAACCCCCAAATCCTGGCTAAATGGACATTGGGCCAACACATGAGAACCAACCTCTGTGCTGGTTGTATTTGAAGAACAGCCTTCAGGAATCTTTAACAAATGGTCTGGTACTTAAACTGACCTCATTTCTTACACACACACACACACACACACACACACACACACACACACAAAACCCCCCAAAACCAGTAAAACTTGCTCTATTGCCCTATGTTTCTGGTAGGCTAGGATTCTTGGTTTCAGTTCAGTTAGAGTTCAGTATCTCCAGAAGTAATAAGCACTTCCTCTTGGGGCACACACGAATCGTGATTCCACTTCAGATCATTGCCATGGGACAGACAAACCATGGATAAAAATGTTTCTTCTTTTTTGTTTTACAAATTAACATATCTAATAAAAGGATTTGGGGTATCTGTACCCCTGAATTAGGGAGAAATATATGCCTGAAGCATAATTATTTGGAGTTTTTGAGGTAATTTGAATATTACATGCCTAGTCAGAGAGAATGCTTCCTAAGTCTCAAGAAGTCCCTATCTGGAGTACAAGGGTGTTTCCAAAATCTCATCAAGAAGAATAACATTCTAGTGTTTGCCAGTGTTCTAGTGGGGTGACTGAGAACAATAGTCTATATTAGTGGTTCTTAAACTTTTCATTGTAGGAAACTTTTACACTCTTAAAGACCAAGAATCCTAAGTACAGTCGCTGTTTCATACATGCAATTCTTATCTCTAGAAAAATGTATAACTTAACGAGGATGGGAATGATATCTCATGCTAAGAGTATCTTCCCACAGGAGCTACCCAGATGCATACTTGGAAGATATTTACAAGAAAATTCCATTCCTAGGTTGCCAAGCAATATGAGAAAACAGGAGCTGAGTTCCCTGAATTGGGGCAGTGAGGGTACAAAGAGCTTAGGTATTAGGAACTTGTTTCCACTGGAGAAATAACACACTTAGGCACAAATGAAGAGCATGTGGACAGGCCAATATGGAAATAAGCATAAGTTACTCCCCACTAGGAATCCTCAGCAATATCAGCCATAGTATGATATGATATATAATATGGTGCTTCATGGCACCAACCGCCCAGCTCTCTGGACAAGAGCAAAGATGCAATTGTATAACTTTTTCAGGAAAGTTAGTCAGAGGAGAAATCACCATAGTTACCTTCACAGATATTATCTCTCCCTTGCAAAGTCTTTGGTGAGGCATTTCACTCCCTGGCCAGTAAACTGCAGGATAGTGAAGTTAGGCACTGGCAGATGTTTGCTGTTTTGAGGAATACTTGTTCCTAACCCCCTTGGGATTGGCTTCTACTTGGTCCTGTGTAACAGGAAGCATCTTACCGGTCACATGGCCAAAGAGTCAGGAAACCCTTGCTTCCAAGACTCTCACATTGAGAAAATTAGGTCAAGAGTAAGGTGTATATGAAACAAGATTTTGGCTAACATTAGTTGGCTCTCAGGAGTGGAACTGTATGGCTGGAGCACAGAAATTGGCAGGGGAAGGAGATACTTCATGATATTCCTTTATTCTTTGAATAAATAATTTTATTTTTATTTTTAATATCTTTTTTTAAAGTTTATTGTTTATTTTGAGAGAGAGACAGAAAGCATGAGCTGGGGAGGGGTAGAGAGAGAGAGGAAGAAAGAGAATCCCAAGTAGGCTCCACACTGTCTAACCCAACACAGGGCTAGAACTTAAGAGCTGTCACGACCTGAGCTAAAATCAAGAGTCAGACACTTAACCGACTGAGCCACCCAGGTGCCCCTGTTCTTTGAATTTTAAGCCACATGAATGTTTCACTGACTCAAAAACAAAACAAATATGAAACAAGCAAACAAATAAAAACTTCAAAAAGTAACGGGGAGGGAGGCTATATAGCTTTGGAATTATAAAGCTGATAAACTATCAAAGTAGTTATTTGTCTTTGTGAATACGAGCAACACAGTGCTTGAAAACGGCAAATTTCAGGCAAGCATCCAGAGCAAAGATCAATTTTATCTCCGGCCCTTGGAAATTTTGCTATCAAAATGCTAGTACCAGCAGATAGAAACCTTGCTTCAGCTTATGTAGCATTTTGAACTTCTAAAAGCACTTTCTCTTGTTTTTCCTCTCTCTTTGCCTCCAATTTACCATTGTTCTCTTACCGTGAAACAAGCGTGATGAACAGCTCACACAATACTCTCCATTTAGCAAATGTAGTCCTTCCCTGGCATCTTTACAAAAAGTCTTCATTTCATTGTAACAAGTGTATCTGGTTCTTTTTTATGAAGCTGCCTACACAGGGCTAGTCCGTCTTGCACAAAACCCTTGAAATATTTCATGGCACCACCCATGTTTCTTTTCATCTTTTTTAAACTTCTGATCCCACAGCCCGGCCACCCTCTCTGGACCCACCCAGGGCCACTCAAAACAAGGTGCCCAGAGTGGAATCTCAAACTCCAGATACGATCTGGCCAGATGTGGCTGAGGGACTCTCAAGCCCCCTCGGTCTGGGTTATCTGCTTCCAGAAATGCAGACTGACATGAAATCCATTTTCCTTGGCAGCTATGTGACTTCATACTCACACAATGACTTGCCACAAACTAACACCTTTTTGTCCTTTTGGTCAAAATTGCTGTTCTAACATCTTTCCTCAGGCTGTTCATTTTTTAAAAACTTAAACATATGACCCTATCTTCTTATTAAGTTTCCTTTAGCCAGATTCCAGCCAGTGACCACCTTTCCAAACCTAAGTTTCAGTGACTGTTAGTCTTCCCAGTCTTTGTAAGGAACAGGGCCAGGGACCAAACCCCATGGAACAACTCTAGAGCCACCCCCTCTTAGGGCAGGGTTTCCCAAGGGCCTTTTCTTTCATATGTAATTTATCCTGAGGCCATTCAAATAGACAGAGAAATAGAAATAATACCACAAAGAGCACCTGTATATCCTCTACCTAGAGTCTGCAATGGTGAATATTTTGCCACATTTCCTCTATCTACAAATCGCTTTACTGAACCATTTTAAAATAAAGACATCATGACATTTTACCACTAAATAGTTCAGCATGTAGCTCCAAAGTAAAAAAATAATAATGATAAATAAAATAAATGAAAAAATTCTTCTTTAAAGGATAATTCTATTATCACACATAACAAAAAAATGAATAATAATTCCTTATTTTTATCTCCACTCAGTCCATATTCAAGTTCCCCAGTTTGTCCCCAACATGTCTATTATGGGTGGTTTTCTCAAAGCCAAAAAAAATTAGGGATGACACTTCGCATTTTTTCTCATTTTAGTCTAAACCAACTGTACCCCAACTTTCTTTGCCATGAGATTGACCTGTTGCAAAGGCCAAGATAATTGTTTTAAAATTTTTAAATGTTTTTTATTTATTTCTGAGAGAGAGAGAAGCAGCATGAGCAAAGGAGGATCAGAGAGAGAAGGAAGACACAGAATCCGAAGCAGTCTCCAGGCTCTGAGCTAGCTGTCAGCACAGAGGCCGAAGCGGGTCTTGAACCCATGAACTGTGAGATCATGACCTGAGCTGAAGTTGGACACTTAATCGACTGAGCCACCCAGGTGCCCCAATAGTTTTGTAGAAAAGCCAAAAACCAAGGGCCACTTACTGAGTAATTATTACTTTTTTCTTTTTTGTTCATCAAATCTCTATGTAACCACCTATTAGATCTTCTGATAAGTGTGAGATAACATTCTTACCATATTGGATTGGTGCAATTGCAGAGATAAACCTAGAATTGTGATGTTTTATAATTGTATAGTTTTAGTCAAGTTACTTAACTTCTTTGAGTCCTGGTTTCCTGTGCCACATAATGAGAATAAATGTATCTGTCTTAGTAAAAGCAGCCGGTGTACTAAAATTAGAAGGACACAGAGAAGATTAGCGTGGCTCCTGCATGGGAATGACATGCAAATTTGTCAAGTGTCCCATATTTTTTAAGATAAGCTTATATATATATTTATTGGAAATTGCAAAATGTCCCTGCATAAGAGTTTTCTAATTTATATTACCACTACAGATGCATGCAAGTGCCTATTACTCTCAGCCTCAACAATGACTGTAATAATTTTTTATTTTTAAACTAATTTTAGATATGAAAAATACCTCTGTGTAATTGAAATTTTTAGTTCTTTAATTAGGAGATTGAACTTGTTTTCATATGCCTAACAGTCCTCATATGTATATTTTGTGATTTTTAGCTTTGAAACCTATTTTCTATCATGACCCATTAATTTTTAAAGAATAAGATATTTACTTATTCAGATAGCAAAAAAAAAATAAATCTTATAAGAAATGATACAGTTGCACTCAAGGTTTCCACTTAGAGTCTCTGACCCACAGGAGAAAACATATGTTTTCCTTTAACATTGGGAAATCTGACTACCTAATATTTAC